CCAACGAATCCGCTCGTGCTTTCGTATGGTGGAGTTTTATGCTGGTAGCATGCGTTATGTAAAATTTGGGCTTAGAACATTGGCTGGAACTCGCTCTATGAATTTCGTTACAGACAGACAGACACACACACACGCACACAAAGTCACGTAAACACCCTTAGCCCGTTATTATAAGTTACTAGCTGCGGTTCCCGGTCCCGCCCGGGTCGAGAGTCCAGAATGGCCCAGCATAAGGTGTGCTTCAAGATGTATACTTACCAGTCCTCCACTTTCTTCAGCTCATATCTTCTGTTCTCTCCTGCTTCACCTCCATGTCAATTTTAGCGCTCGTGTAGTATCGTGGTGAATAGTCTTCTTTCTTGACCGGCTCGCTTCATGACACCGCATGCTCCTCACCGCAAAATTTAAATGATCTCTACCACCCCTTACTACTCACTTGGAGAAATGAATGGTATAGCCTTCATTTTCCTAGATTTTAGTAAACAAAATCAATAAATCGATAGAAGGACCCAGCGAATTGTCGAAAAAAGTAGCCTATCTTTTGCGCCGTGGCTTGTTTATAGGGAAACAAAATTCAGCCTCTTTGGTTCACATACAAAGGAGTCTATAAGCCACAAACATCCTAACAAACACGGTACAGTGTTTGAGTTTTATATATATTAGGTCGTTCCGAAAGTAATGTCGCTTTTTTCAAATGAACGCCACATTTCATGGAATCAAGATTTTCAAGAGATCTTAGGAGCATTCGATGCAGCATTTCATCCTCTTTCTAATGGTTGTAATTTCATTGCACAATTTTCATTGAGCTTGCGAAAAATTAACAAAATCTGCAACTCATGCTTTTTGTCATGGTCAAGTTCGGCAATTTTTTAAAATTTTTGTACCTATTCTCCGAAGAAGTACAAGTGGCAGATAGATAGAGCAAACCCTATAGGACACATAATAATTTTTTCTTTTCCTTAGCTTGCTTCTTAGAGTTTCTGGAATCAGTCTCAAAATGCCATCAAATTCCATATTTGGTCAACTCAAACCTCACAGAACAGCAACCGGCAAGAAACTCGGGTGTCATTCGACGCAGCTTTTTCTCCTCTTTTTACCAGTTGTTTTTGGTTTCCGATTCATCAAGTTTTCCAAGATAACATCATCATAATTCAGGTTTTCCAGGGCGCCTCCGGCTGTACCCGGGATTTCCGAAAGTTGCTAATCTGAAGCGGTAAACGCTCATTTGCTTTGTAAAATTAGTGTAAAACCATAATCCATTTTTGTAAGTTTCAAAATCCAACGATTTCTTGGTGTTTGATGCATTTGTGTCTGAGACGAGCCTGCTAAAATTCGGTGGTTACATCAAAAAATCTATACAGAAATCATGACGAGCTCTGAAAAGTAGAAAAAAGTTGTGCTGTTTCCCGTAGGGTTTGCTCTATCCATACATAACTTGGACTTCTTCCGGGGGTTGTTATAGAAATTTAGAAAAATTGTGAAACTTGGTCTTCTCAAAAAGCACCGGTCGCAGATTTCGATACATTTTCGAGAGGTTACTGGATTTTTTGCAGTGGTTATATAACCTTTAGAAAGAGAATGAAATGCTGCATCAAATGCTACCAGAATCTCTTACACATCTTTGTTCCACGAAATGTGGCGTACGTTTGAAAAAAGCGACATTACTTTCGGAACGACCTAATATATAGATGATGATACCAGTTCGTCACCTCTGTTTCGCAGAGATTCGCACTGGCTTTACTATTCGCATGCCTTCCTTGTGATTGCATGATAATGACTTTGAAACTCACCGCGCAATCCTGAACACAAATGAATTGTAAACAACTGCTCATTCTCAAAAATTTTTCATGTAAGATCGGTGATTGCGGGAGAGAAAAACTTTTTCGCGAAAGAACAAATGCGAATTTGGATAAATCACTGGCTATTTTAACATCATTGCTCCCATAAGGATAATAAACCCCATGGGCCACATCTCTGTGCAAACATCTCTTCAATTTATCGAATAAAACCCTGACTAATCCGCTGTTTACGCAATCATCCTTCTTTGGCGCTGCTTTAGCAAACAGATCTTTAGACTTTTTTGGAATGATTCATGAATCGCAAATTTTTTTTGCCCTACAAATACCCGACATTGCAAAAAGTCGAATCGGCGGCCTAATTTTCCGTGCTAAAAGCCGAGTGGACCCGCTCCAGGTGCAATTTGAAAGGACCATCTATCGGATCCATTCACCGCTGTGCAGGACGAGCCTAGACGCTGCCAGCGTACACTGTGCAAAATTTTAGCTTGATATGTTGGCTGCAAATCGCTCTATGAATTTCGTGACAGACAGATATACACACACGGACAGACAGATTAGCGCTTTATTACAAGTCAGGATAGGTTTTCTTTCTGTTTCAAAATAAAAAAAGCAAAAAACTTGAAAAATTTCAAATTCTTGGCCAATAACAACCAAAAAATCATGTTACAATCTACATATAATTAGTGAAGGTATGAGAAATTTGAGGTAAGCAACATATGGATGGATAGAGCGTAAAGAGCTCTATCAGATGGTAGCCAGAAAACGTGCGTTCCCTTGCAAAGAAGTAAATAACACGTAACCTCGAGTCATTTGTAACTTAATATGTGAGATTGCACACTAAGCCCTATTAGTGACGGCACCTCTACTATAACTTTCCAGCGCAACATTTTCTAACACAACAAAGTGTGAAAATGTATTCTATCAACTGATGTATAACTAACAAGAACAAAAGAGACTGGGAAACAGGGAGAAATCACTGAAAATGAGCAGGTTCTAGTTTTGCAGTTCGTCATTTAACATGTATAGTGTGCACTACGCATATTAAGTTAGGAAAGACTCGACGATATCTTCATTCTCAAAACTGCTGATGACTATATCCCCTGACTTCATGCGTTACGGCCAGCAAGCCACAGTGGGTTCGGTGACTGTACCTTCATTCATTGCAGCAGTGGTGCTTTGGATGGTTTTGCATGTGTCACTGCGCAAATAATTAACTTTGCATTTCAGCAAGTATAAAAGTTATTACGTATGTAAATGACCTTATTCACCTCTTTTTTTGAGGCATTTACAATCATTCTCAAGGTGTCCCAATTTTACCGGTCACCCTAATAAGATGCCATTCTTTGAATTCAGCTGTGTAAAAAGAAGCTAGTATTTTTACAACAACTCAATACATGATCAACTAATCGACGGCATATCCTTACCCACAACTGTAGAATTTTTTTGAGGGAACTATGAACTATGCTTTAGCCACTGCTTAGCACTAGCCGTCTACACAGAATCATATGTTGAATTAATTTTCGAGCGTCGGTATATCGCTCAAACTCAAAGATTAGAATTTTAGATTGGTTGCAGATATACAAAAACTTCAGAAATCTCAGGCATTACCTTAGTCACCATCAATTTCATTGCTAGACATTTGCGCTAATTTATGTTATGCTTGCTTTTATCAACCGCAACATTAACTGTGCATTACATCACTTTATTTTTGTTTTACATTCTATATGCTGAACTTTGCAACTCCTACAAAAAGCATGGCTACGGCCTTAAGATAAGAGGGATCCTCCCTAGCCACCGCCAGTCCTTTCATATGCCGTCACAAAAGTAATTATTTGTGAAGGAGTCTATTGTGCTGCGATAGGATTCTGATCCTTCGCTTTTCCGCTAAGGATATTTTGAAATTGGGCACGACTGGGCGACGCTTTTCAACCTTGAAACGGTACAAATATTTGGCAAGTTTCCATTTTATAGGCAAGAAAAAGTTTGCTTTCTTTTTTTTACTTTTGACGGAAATAAAAATTATCGCGATCTCAGATCTCGATACAGTATAAGGAAATATTAGGGTGATTCAAAAGTAATGGGGCACTTCAATTTTTGAAAAATTTTTAGGGTTTCTATTTAACTATGAACAACAAGCAATTTGAACATCCTTGTATAAACTGATCTTCGCAGGTTGTCTTGACAGCACCTTGCAGCACCTCACCTACAATCCTTCGAGCGGCGCTTCGAAGAAGCCAGACAGACTTATTTTGAACGCAATCCAAATTTGTCCTGCTGTACCTCAAAGTATCTGGAAATATGACATATTATTTGGAAGAGCTTCCTATGCTCTTTCTCAAGAATGTACAAAAACTCCCCATTATTTCGTATAGAAAAGGCACTTTACCCGAGAAGTGATGGCGCAGATTTTCAGGGTAAAAATCATGCTTTGACCTACAATTTTTCAAAAATGAGATAAGGTAAATCGCATGCATACATATATGGATTGAAGTTGTATCAGATAAAAAGTGTCAAGAATGAGCTTGTTTCATTATTTGATGAGAGAAAAAATAGTAGGTCTCCTAATTCCCAATGCTCTTCTGTTCTCAGGCGTTGGGTTCACAGTCTATTGTTAATTTTGTGACACTCTCTCAATTGCTGCGCAGACATCTTGGTGGGCTCACTTGTACTGCGGCGGTGCTGCTCAAAGTTCAAAAATACTTAAAGTGATGAGCTTTAATTTTAAGTGCTCATAAATATAACACCATGTGACAGTGCCCGTCTATGGACCTCGATCAGAAGGTTTTGTTATGTACTGACATCTGCCAAAACTTGGAATTCCAACTAGGTTTTCTTTCTAAGAAAATTTTTATTCTCTAGGTGCCATTACTTTTGGATCACCATAATAACTTGGAATGATATTGTGCACTTGAATGATACTTTGAAAGAGCAATTTTTTGAGTCATAGATGACTGGTGTGCTTAGCCTAACCTTGTCTGCTAGCCTTGTCTTGAAAAAACGAACACTTCTGTCTGATCTATAAACACTAGTAATCTTCGACTGCTTTTCACAGAAAACTAAAAAAGACCACCTTTGAAAGTAACAGTGATAAGCGGAAAACATTTTTTTTTCTTTGTCTTTAACAGAATATCCTCAGTCGCGCTCTCATGATTATTTCAGTTGATTCTTTTGATATATATATGAATTTTTTGTTTTCCAGACATGTGGGCATCGTTTATGGCTATGATGTTGTTAATTCTTTGGAGTGGAAGTGAGTGCAAAATTTTTAAAGGCCGAATAGTTAGGTATCGAAACATTACTCCCATGGAAAACTGGTATGGGAGGCGTAAGTTCGATATCGATTTTAAATTTTGAATTTACTGATGTGTCTAGTTTTTGAGATTTGCAGGTGAAACAGCAATTCTCAAACGTGAGGTAAATCTTCTTGACATGCTGCGCACTCCTCTGATGCTTAGCTTCAACAGAAACAATGCTTTTTCACCGGTTAATGAAAACCTGCTCATTTAAGGCTAGAATTTGATGTTACAATCTTGCAGGTTGGAGGAAGAGACAAAGAGTACATAAGACAGCTACTGGAATCGCGAAAACCTCAAGCTTTTGCTGAACGACTGTATTCACAATAAAAGAAATTTTCTTGTTGGCATAATTGGTATCTTCAGCAGTTTTTTGCAAATTATATTAGGTTGGCTAGAAAGTTCTTGCGTAATTCAAACAAAATTCAATAACTTTTCAACGACTAAACCTAAATTCACAATCTTATTCTCTAAAAATGTTAGAAGGCCTGCGCTCCAAGATGGATGTTTAAGCGCAAGATTTCGTGAGTTAGTCCCCGAGAACGAAGCTCTCAAATATGGGACTTCAAAATTTGCAATTTTGAATTTGGTGCCAGAAAATCGCAGAGTGTCGCTAGCTAGCCGAAAAAAATCTGTAAAAATTACTTACACTGCAGAAGTCCATAAGTTACTTTGGAAGGCTTCAAACTCGCATGGGAATGCGAAAAACAAAAAATTTGTGGAATTTGTGATTTTACAGGAAAAATCCCCTTATCGATGTAATTTTTCCACAAAAACACAGTTTGCAACCAGAAATAAGACATATTGCCTATTTAGAACTTTGCGACGTTTTCTGGAGTGTAAAAAATAGTTTTTGCCGAAAAACTGCGGTAATGAGTGGATTTTTTCCGCAAAATGACTATTTCACGAATTTTTTGTTTTTGCTTCACCGTGCAAGATCAAAGCCTTCCAAAGTAACTTATGGACTTCTGCAGTGTACGTAATTTTTGCAGATTTTTTTCGGCTAGCTAGCGACACTCTGCGATTTTCTGGCACCAAACTCAAAATTGCAAATTTTGAAGTCCCATATTTGAGAGCTTCGTTCTCGGAGACTAGCTCATGAAATCTTGCGCTCAAACATCCATCTTGGAGCGCAGGCCTCCTAATATTTTTAGAGAACAAGATTGTGAATTTAGGTTTAGTCGTTGAAAAGTTATTGAATTTTGTTTGAATTACGCAAGAACTTTCTAGCCAACCTAATATATAAATCATGGAGTTTGTTATATTATAATGGTGCACGTGTGTTGTTAATAAGATGCAGTGAAGGTATCAAATTGTTTGATTTATCTTCTCTAAGATAGCTTGCCGTATTCGTCTGAAGAAATTTGTGAATAAATCCTGCTACTATTCTTATGTCTTGTCGCTGGGATTTAACGGTTGTCTACTCAGCTTTGCTGATTCAAATACCGTACCGTGAGTTGAAAATGTAGACTTCTTCTCTACTTTGTTTGTACACTTTTCAATCCTTTGAAAAAAGCGAAACATGCTTTTTTGCATTGGCTTCTAGTCTCTTAGTGATTTTTTTCCACTAAAAAAATTGGAGCTTCTAATAATTCAACCGCATTTTGGCCACTTGTGTACAGATTTATTTTCAAAATCAAATTACTGAATATTTTCGCAATAGAAATAAAAATCTTATATATAAAGCTGAATGTCTGTATGTCTGTATGTCTGTCTGTCTGTATGTCTGTACGTATGTGCGGAATAGAAATTTTTATTTCTGGACCGATTTGGACCAAACTTGGCACACATATACTTCGGGGCAGGGAGCGTGTCATAGGCTACTTTTCGTTGTCGATCGATATCGATTTTATCGATTTTTTGCAAAATTTGAGCTACAGGGCTGGGAGTTGGCACAGGGGGGTAATCGAGCATGCTGATTACGAATATAATAATGACAGGCCCGGGCGGAGCCGGGTTTGCCAACTAGTTACATATAAAGTGGCGGCTCGTTTGCTTTTTGTTTATTTTCGTGACCAATTTAATAACATTGCTAGCTGAAGAATTCAGAATTCAAGAGGAAAAAATCCACGAAGATTGTATATAAGTTTACGTCATCATTGATTCATGTTGTTTGGACGTCTCTGTGAGAAGCTGTGATTTTCGAGGAAATTGACAAACGATGTAATCACTTTTGGCGTTTTCTTTAGGCTCAAAATTCAGATCTTGTCACAGAAACGTCCTAACAACACAATTCCTCAGTTGCAAAGAGTAAGCTATAAGACTTGTGTAATAATTTTTCAGATATTCTACAACGTTTCGAATTTCTGGATGGTTTTCTTTTCTAGTTTTTATCTCTGCAATGAGATAAAATTCAAAAACTATGTAGTGGAGGCCAAAATCAAGTTACCTTTGCAAAAAGGTTTTTCCTTTCTGATAAGATTACAAAGAAGCAAATCAGTCAAAATTACAAATTTTCAAAAACTAACAGCAGCTTTCGAGATGATCCGTATTGATACTGCTGAGCATTAGCCAATCGTCTGGTTAGCATATATTAGGTTGTCGGATAATTTTTGTTACACTTTTCGTTTTAATTTTTAGAGATTTCAGAAGCTTTGGAAAGATTTATGTTCACGGCATATGGGCAGGGTCAAAAGGCCTATCCAACGGTACCGTCGCATCCGCGATTCGTGCGCAAAACACCCACTTTGTGGCCAAAAATCCATTTCTTCCCATTTTTGTAAATGAGCTGGCGTTCTCTCAGGTGATAAGCGATAGACCGGACAATGTGGTAATCAGGTAGAGCATATCTGCACAGGGCCCGGCAGGAGGTTGTCAAATGACAAGCTAGAAATCGTTTTCGGTAGAAAAAACAAAGGGGATATCGTTTTTGCGGGGTCCGGGGCGAAGCCCCGGGAAAAATTGGTAGTTTATGCCCTCTGCTTATTTTAACATGTTATGTGCCTCAACAGGCAAACACTGGAGTTCGGGCTCGTCAAACCGCGCCGTCGCTAATTGCCACACGCGCGTCGTCGCTCAAACGATGCTATTTGTAACAGCATACATGACTAGTTCTCAATGCATGCGCAACGATATGACACCAAATTTTGTAAGCGAACGGAGAGAGGCTAGTGGAAACAAAGTATGAAAAATTATGTTTGCAAAATTGGTAAATGAAGATGTGAATTCAAATGGCTCGTTTGCAACGCGCAGATGGCGACATGGTATCAAACTTGGTAGGTACGTGGACACAAGCCTGTAGGATTTAAATTAGGAGTTTCATTGAAAAATTATGTGACTGAAGGTTGTGGCAAACGTTTTTCTGAAAATTTCCCGCTACCAAAGAAACGAAAAAATGGCTCGTTTGCAACGCAGAGGGGATGAAATCGCGCGAGATTTGATGTGTGTATGCGCTAGGGCTAACTAACAAAGCGTGAAAAATCATGAAAAACTTATGTGAATGAAGAGCGTGCTTAACTTATTTCCAAATTAGCTTGTCATTTGACAAGCTAATGACAAGCTGAGCTTGTCAAAACTCTCAATTCACATAATTTTCTCAAAATTTTTACATAAATCTACTCCACATCTAAACATTAGTAAGTACTGAAATTTTGGTTTCAAAACTCCTCCTCTCCCCATTGCTAGAGGCAAAATAGCCTCAGCAGGCCTGTTTCCTAGGAAAGCGCGCTGTAATCGAACGGCGTATCGCTGAGTCTATAAGGGTCGCTCTGATATTTCATCAGCTAGATCGCGTCGTTCATTCCTCTTTGCATCATTTTCATAACTTCTTCATCAACTTCAACTTCAACATCATCTTAGGAACCATTCTCAGTCGGAATCCGGTGCTGATCTTAGCTACAAGCACCCAGTTGCCTTTTTTTCCTCTGACTACGGATGTTATTACATATAAAACTCATTTCTTTCATCAAATTTAAATACTCTAAAACTTTGTAATGGTTGTGAAATTTTGTTAAATGATGATGAGTCTTAGGGACCGGCCAGACTATTCGAGGAGGTGATTCTTGCGATTCCTGTAATGCCTGCAATCCTTGTGATTCCTCTACTTCCGATGTACCGCACTACGGAGCGTTTTGCAAATTTTGACATACATTGTTTTTTCGCAACATACATTGTTATGGGACCCGCAGCAATTACAGGAATGCTATGAACTCATATGATGATAAAAATTATTGAGCTGCTCTTTTTCCACGCCCTGGCATGAAGGTGAATGTGAGACGTACTGTGAGAGTGTATGGATGGTACGAATCCCCCCCCCCCCTTCCCCCTCCCCCCGCGCTTCCCCTCCCCTAGGTGCCGGTGAAATTGTCATTGTTATCACTCGAGATCTTTGATCATGATTTCTTTTTTTCTTTGTTATTGCATTGTTATTGGTTGGTTCTTCAATAAATGTTCCTTTCGTAAAGTGTTCAATGCGCAATCACTGGGACCAATTTTTGGATCAAAGGGGAATTTGTAAAAAATTTTTGGGTCAAAGGGAAATTCGTTTTCGAAAACCCCTTTTGACAAGCTCGTGCCGGGCCCTGTATCTGCAGCGTTCAAAAAATATGGGGGGGATAACGCAGACATGTCTACACACGTTTTCCTGAGTGGTTCAGATGTCAGTGTGCGATATCTTTACAATCATTGGAATTTTAACGAAGAAAACGTCTTCAAAAATTTTGAAAAAATTATTTTTATGTTTTCTGTATTCATTTCTATACGGTGCCCATGAAAAGGAGAATTTAGAAAAGTTTTTGAATTTTTTTGACATTTTTTTACCCCTCGTTTTTGAAACGCTGGAGGCACCGAAATGCCTCCATGTAATAGACAATGCCGTAATATGTTCTCAGAATTCTGGAAGAAGAAAAGCGGTAGGTGCAAAGAAAAAGATCAGACAAGAACTGAAAATTTGCTGCTTTTAAAAAATGCCATAGACTTGTTGGTTATTAATGCACTTGCGGCAACAATCATGCTAATGGGTAGACCCTGCTACGTCCTAAGCGTGTTGCAAATCTGGGGTTTTCAGAAAGCTTCTGGAAACCGGAATGCATCCATGTAAGAGACAGTGTGCCGCGAGAAAATTCAGAAAAAGTGTAACAGAAATTACCAGACAACCTGATATATAGATGCTAGAAACAAGTCGAGTGATCACCGCCCACACGCCACAAATTGGATGTGAGATAATGGAAAGGTGCATTCTGGTAGAGCTTGATGAACCAGTCCAATTCTCCTGGAATAGTCACGCATGCTAGGGTAAAACCTGAACGGACATTTGGGAGAAAGGCGAGAAGGAGCCGAGAACTATCAGTGAGGCCACAGACACGGAAGCAGTGAATGTAAGCGCATTCTGA